TGACAGCACTTTTCGTAGAAGCTCGATTAACTCTTCCAATATCAGATGACAGATTTACGGTTGCTGCCTCATCATCCCCTTCACTTTCAGATCCATAACCAGCTCTTCATTGACAAAGCAGAGAGAGACAAAAATTAAGAGAAGCACAACAGTAGCAGGACTACATCACCCTAGCAGCTTACTTTTCCCATAGTGACTGAAAATGGTATTTGCAGAATTGCCAAGACAAACTAAAGCAAAGCAAAGCAAGAGCCATAATAGCCTATAAATGGAAATATATAACCCCCATCTACTTCAGTTACATCTTCCTCTCTAGTACCGCGGCACATCCTTAACCAAAGGAAATGTTCTGAGATAATAAAAGGGTCATCTTGTCAGGTAACTCTATTGACCCTGTGCTGCATGCTTATTATCATCACTTATATAAAAGTAATGGAAATGGATATGTGTGCAAGGAAGAGGGGAGTGAGTAGCAGATGGGAGATAGAATAGAACATGGGTTTTGGGATTTGATACAGCAACGGTGGTACAGAATTCTTGTAAAGGGCTAACAATCCAAATAGTAAGAGGGTTTGGAAAGGTAGTAGCAGTTCGGGAATAGGGGAGAAGTAAGAATAGAATCTCTGCAGTAATTCAATGATCTCAGTTCCACACAACCTGATTCCAGAAGGACAACAAATGCAGATAGCTATACTAACTCTAGACCAGCTCCTCAGCTGATAAGAAATAGAAAGATCTAATTCACTATGAAAAAAATGATTGTAAGTCAACCAGATTAATGAAGGAAAACTATAATTGCATCGAATGCAATCAAAAATCCATAGCAGCACTGAGAGACATTGAAACGTACTTGGTTACAAAGTCACTAACATCTTGAAGACTTCTTAGATCAGGCACTTGATGGTTTTGCACAAATTTCCTGATTCGGCGAGAAACACCCACTGGCTGTAATCTGATAGAGTAGTGTCGGAAATCAATAAGCTTTGTTTCTTTATCATAATTAAGTAATACAATCCTTTGGCATGAAGACAGCTTGACCTGCAATATATAACAAGTTTCCATTTACAGCTGGTGAAAACAAACTGTGGCTAGAATACAAATTTAGGTATGGTTCTCACTCACTGTATTTATGTCAATGGCAGGAAAAATGTTCTGGAATATAAACGTAGTGAGCTTTAGGTGTTCTTCCCCTGTACCAAAACCAGATAGCACAATCTGCAAGCATAATTCTGGAGCTCAGCTGACCAGATAGAGAAAAAACAATAATGCTAATACAAGACAACCAACTTTATAAAATGGCAACATGAGCATGTTTTCGTAGGTACATCTACATGTCGGGAGGTGTGAAGTAGTCATCTAAGATTCAGCAGAAAAGATTACCAACGGTGGGTTTTTGAAAAGATCCGGAGGGCATCTTGGACGGAGTTGAGATTGAGCAATGTCAGCAGCCAACGAATATTTATGTATTTTAAACGTTAAAGTTGGACCGTGCTTCATTTTGGCAACCTTCAAGTATGCTGCAGAGTCTGTTTTAGACAATATGAGGAAATGTGTGACCATCATACCATTAGCAAGACTCACGAAATCTTTGAGTTTATTTCGTTTTGATTCCTGAAATTAAATTGAGGAAACATTATTTGGTCAAAAGATATGAAAAATACAGACAACAGATGTATATTGTAATATACAAAAACACATAGGTACAGATAAATATATTCATGTTTGTAGCTTATATCACAAGATAAAATCAGGTATTGTTGAAAAAAGCTACAGAGCTCATAAGTTGAGGAAACAAAAAGAAGCCAGAAGTACTGAAAAGATCTGTTCTACCAATAAACGTGCCATTTTAATTAATCATTTCTGCTTGTCTTTCAAATAACAGGAGTTCAGCAGCCAGAAGAATAACAGGCATAATGTCTAGTCCACAAGTTAAACGGAAAAAAGCTAATACATTGTACAAGTAACAACCCCCCCCCCTTTCACCTTTCCAAATTAAACAAGCTCCTACTTGACTCTCTCCGCAAGGTCCAAAGGCATTGAAGAGAAATCATCTCTTCGAAAAATCACAGGTCACAGTGCAGAAAAAGACGTCTAACCCGTTCTCACTCTTTACAAACATCAATTAATTTTTGTTCCTTTTCCTTTTCTTTAGATTTGTAGCTGTAAGCATTAAACCATGCAATACTGAAGGGACAAAGAAAATGACATGCTCCATTTCTGTTGTCTCACTCCAGTATTTGAGGATTACATTTTTTTTTTGAAACAGGTAACTTTTGAGGATTACATTTTTTTTTTTGAAATAGGTAACTTTTGAGGATTACATTTTTTTTTTGAAATAGGTAACTTTTGAGGATTACATTTATCAGTTTGCATCTTAGCAACTGTTTTTTTTTTTGGTTATTTTAGCAAACGTAGGAGCAGTTATAGAACTTTTCATAGGGTTAATTTTCTCAGTTTATGAGGTTCTGTACTTCATTACAGATAAGATGATTTGTACTGTTTCTTTGCAAGAGTGGGCTTCGTGTATTCATAAAATGTTAGTCTGTTAGGCGTATGGATCGAGTCCCAATTTAGAAGAAGCTTGAAAAAATATTCATACAAAGAGGTCCAAATCGTATTAAAAACTTTAGATAGTAAAAGAATTAGTAAAAGTCAAGACTGTCGAGCAAAAACCAGATAAGCACCCGAATGCACGAATAAACATACTATGTTAAGGCTTTACCTTGAGCTTGAGAGCAGTATAAGGAAGCATCAATTTTCGCAAGTCCATTTGCAACTGTTTGAGAGGACCAGAAATCTTCCCCCTTGAAAACACCAAACTCTTTGGAATCTTGTCTCCAGTAACATGGTCGACCGTTGGCGTCTTCTTCGCAATTTGCTTGACAAACGGCTTCCTGTTTTTCTGATTAAATGAGTATTCAAGAATTCAGCTCAACCACCACCACAATAAATTGTCACAAAGCTTACAAAAAATCACAAAAATGGAACACATATCTATCTTCTACAAAATCAGTGTTCAGTTGATCATCATTTCTTGTTTCCGTTCAAAAAAAGACCAAAAGGTTACAGCCGTGACTCGTGAGTAACTTTGTTTTCCTTTGCTTTCAATAAAACCAAAAGCAGATAAACAAAGTATGACATGTTCCATTCATACAATGTCTTCCTCACAACAATATTCAAAATTTCAGCTCGGTTGATTAAACCCTTTTTTAATAGGAAAAAAAAGCTTAAAAACCAAATATTTAATTCAATCATAGTTATCGATTATCATTACTTGTTGTATGTATAAGCCGTTAGGGATATTACAAGCAACAGCTAAAAGTAGCTAAAAACTTCCATTCAGTCTAATCATCTATCTTTGTTTCAAGGCAGAAGGGTCACAAATAATTGTTGCTGCTATAAAAAAAACCCATAAATTTTCTGTTTACACCTAGTTTATTACTTAAACCACCATATTCTAAACTGCTCATTACATCTCTCTTAAAACCCAAAAACAACGAAAAATGTGAAGGAACAACTAAAAATCTAGTTAGATAAATCGAAAACTACAATCCTGAAAAAACATAGAATAGAAAAAGCAGAACTACTTACACTCTTGAAACGACCCATAATCTACTAATACTCCAAGTTTACTCTGAATCCTGCAAATTGCGAGCTATAAATTTAAGGGTTTTTTAGAAATTCCCCAAATATATGATTTTGAAATCAATCTTGAATTCACGTTATACAAAGGCAGTGCTTTAGCAGCGTTAAGGCTTTGTAACAATGGAGGAGAAAGAAGACAAGTTACATAAAACCCTAGCTAAACCCAAACTAGTGGATTTTTTATTTTATTTATTTTTTTCCCTTTTCTTTGCCAAATGCCAATAAGTAGATTACTAGTTTTGTCCCTGTCAAAGTGAGATTTGTGAGGGTATTTTTGACTTTTGGCAGATAAAAGATGGAGTATGTGATTTATTAAAACTTATTATAAATAATTTTATAAAAGTAAAAAAAATAATTATTACTATTAAAAATGATATGCTATTGGGACACTTTCTTCTAGTCGATTAAGATTGAATTAGTCGTTGTTTTTATCATAAAAATATTTGAAATTTTCAAAACTAAAATTGTGTTGGATTATACTTTTTACTATAAATATTTATAATTTAATTTTGTTTCTTGAAGAAAAATATATGTATAATGTGATAAATTAGTAGTTTTATACTCTCTTCGTTTCTATTTATATAGTCTTTTTTAAAACAAAATAAATAGTCCTTAAGACTTATCATTTCACAAAATAAATACACAAATAATACTCATATTTCATGTACTTTTTATAGTTATTGATCTTATAAAAGTATGAATTTCACCAATGATTGATACATGTTCATTATCAATTTAATTAATAAAAAATAAATCAATTTATATTTGTTTATTTAAAATTTGACTATTAAATAAAAAGATGTTTAAATTTAAATTAGTTTTTGATTTTTGAAAATATCTGATAAGTATTAAAAAAATAAAACTAAAATAAGTATATACACAAACACATGCAGACTCTACGGAGAAATCACATAGTATATGGTTAGGATAATGTACCAGTAGTTCCTCAATCTATATTCAAAATCTTAGAGACACATATACTATACTAAGTTCCTATTATTCCTGAACTTATTTTTAAGTAATTTTTTATCTCTTTTTAGCCTAGGTGACATTATCTTGTGGGTTCAATGCTAATTGACTTTTTTTCAAACTAGTGTTATGTAGATCGAAAAAGGATAAAAAATTACTTATAAAATTATTTCAGAAGATAATATAATCTTAATATAATATAAGTGTGCTCTAAAATTTTAAACACAAATTGAGAGATGCTCGTGCATTTTCAGTGTATGTTTACAACTATTGAATAATCAAATTATTCAACTTTGTACTTTGGACATTTCAAACTTACCATTTTAAGTTCTCTTCTCCTTCCCACTTCCGCACACAACAATATTTTCTTACAGTTTAAATTATAGCAAGGGTGTGATACGGTAATCAATAAATTAAGCGATGAATAGTAAATATTAATATTAAATTATATTTCTTTTGCTATATATATATATTACATTTATAATCTAATTGAAGTTAGTAGTATTCAGAGGGAATGGAGAAACGGAAAGTAGGAAGGCCCAGGAAGAATGAAGAAAAAGGAAAAGTCGCCGTCATCGGAACTTCCTCACCGGTCAACCGCCGGCCGCCAGAGTTCTTCAAGCTCTTCCTTTCTGATCAGAGCTCTCAACAACTAGTAACTTTCTATCTCATCATCTCTTAGGGTGTGTTTGGTACGGAGGAAAATGTTTTTTTCATGAAAAATGATTTTCTAGAAAATGTTTTCGTGAAAAATAAGTAGATTTTGGACTTATTTTCTCATGTTTGATTTGTGAGTAGAAAATATTTTTCAGAAATAATTTTTAATATTTGATTTATGAATTGAAAATATTTTTTAAAAAATAAAATTATTATATTTTTGGAGTGGAATGGGGTGGGGGTAGTGGGTGGGTGAGGGGTAGAAATGAAAAAATAAAATTTGAAGTTGATAGTATTTTTAAAAAATAAAATTAATTTTTTCGGGGTTGAGGGTGGGTGGGGAGCTGGTAGGGTGAAGGTAGGAGTTTAAAAATGAAAAATTGAAGTTCAAATTTTTTTAATAAACCAAAATTAATTTTTTGGTATGGGGTGGGGTTGGGGGTGCTGGCTGGTGGGTTGGGGGATCAGGGATAGGGTGAAAAAATAAAATTTTTAAATTGAAAATATTTTTTTTAAAAAATGTAATTTGAAATCAGAGGAGTGTTTTGGAAAATGTTTTTCAAAATTTTTTAAGAGAAGTTATTTTTTCTTAATTTGAGAAAAATGAGTTGATTTGGAAAATATTTTCCCGAACTTTTGTCCCAACCAAACATGAGAAAATTGAAAAACAGTTATACTTTTTCCAGAAAATGTTTTCTTTCATACCAAACACACTCTTAACATTTACACTTTTTCCTAGATATATATATATATGCATTAAATATCACTCCATCAAATTTTTGATGAAATGGATATACTATTACGAACAGATAAATTTAAGATATGAATTTTCCAGTTTAACCTTGTTTTGTCAAATAAAAGACTCAAATTTTTAACTTTTCTTAGAGATGTGCACCCGATCATCATCGCACAGACATTATACGATACTTCAAGTGTGGATTCACACATCTATATTTAAATACTTTATAAAAAATAAAATACTATTATATATGATTTCAAGAGAGGAGTATGGGTTCACGTTAACCCCCTCTAGGATACGCCTCTGCTTATATATATATATATTACGGGGTGTGAGGTGGTGGATGTGGGGCTAAGGGGGGAGATGAAGATAAAGACACGTTAGAGTAGTTGCAAAGCTAGAAATTTTGTTAATATAGTGTTCAAAATTTTAGTAAATATCTCTGAAAGTTATTTTTAACCTATGTATACACAGTATCTCAATAAATGGTGTCCGATAAACCAGCATAGATTAATGTAGCTATGCCCCTGATTGGAGTGTGAAGGATCACATAAATGTGAAATGTCCTTTGTAAATTTATATTCTTATTTGTACTTTCATTTTCACACCCTTACATCACTATACTTGTTTAGAACTATCTAATAATTATTTTGAGAAAAAAAAGAGTCTAGTAACACTAGTTTGTTTATACACAGGTATTGCCAAAGGACTTCAGTAGAAAATTTGGGGAGAAAATGAAAGAAAGAAGCAAAATTAAAGACTTATGTGGGAATGTTTGGGATGTATGTATTGAAAAGAGTGAAGATGGAGTTGTTACTTTCATTGGAAAAGGATGGGAAGATTTCATAAAATATCAGTCTCTAAAGAATGGATATTTCTTGATATTCATATATGATGATGAAAGGGACTCTTCATTCACTGTCAAAGTATTCAGTACAAATGGTAGCAAGAAATCAGTGCCTATGACAATACAAAATACTAAAGGAGAAGACCATGTCATAGTGGTTGAGTAGTCCGTTTTCATGTGCCTCGATTATATTTCTAAGAGATACAATTATGTTTCTAAGAGATATGTATGCCTTTATTCATGTTTTTGGACTTCGTGTTAAATTATATTTGAAGAGTAGTAGTGTATGTCTGATTAGTCGCAGCTTTGCTAATTATATATCAACAATATGTGTTTGACTAAAGTTTCAGCCAAAATTCATAGATAAACTGGAGTTTTGCTATTTTTTTCTTTAAAACTTTGTCAAATACCTTAATTATTTAAAAAATGAAACAAGATTGTGGAAAAATAAAACTAATAATAAACTGGAGTTTTACAGGACAGTCATCATCTTTACATCTCATTTAGAAGGGAATAAAATCATCAATTTTACAGCAGTTCAGCAGCTGAAACAAACAAGACATTTTTACACCTAGCCCAACTCGGTGCAGGGTAATCACAGAGGGCAAGGATCTCAAATCCACACTTAGCCAAAAGATTATAACTCACATGTAGGATTGGGTTCTACCAGAAAGACACAATAGCACTACATAGTTAAGGAGAGGAATGTCAAAATAATTTAAATCATTTTACCATCAAGACTGCATTACCAAGGAGCTTGGTTCACGGCCATGTACCCTCAATCTATAGATGCATGTGTGTGGCTGCCCATGGTTTGATGTGAAATCAAACCTGATTGTGTCGACAACATTAGAGCCTGCCGACTCTAAAACATCAAAAGTCTGTGCATTGCTCTTGTCCAGATCATACATGAACTCCGTCAAAAGAAACATCTTCTCACTATCAGCTGCTAGGTCAGTACCCTTTTCATTATGGAGCCATCCTGATATCCTGCCGTTCTTTGGAGCACTGGATCTATCGTAAGCAACACTCTGTTCAAAAAATCCTGGGTTGTTAGTTTCTTGGGTACAGAAATGTAACCACACACAACCAAAAATCCTTTTCAACTAGGTTATATCCGAGCCAGCTTATGCACCAGAGATCATTCAACACAAAAAAAATTTTCAGAAAGTATATGGTAGTATGAATAGAGTTCCTAATCACAACGGAACTGTTAACAGTGAGTAAACAAATCTATAAGTCGTGTCATGCTGGGGAAGATAAGTATTGCCATAATATACTTGTCAGAGTGTATCTATCTAGGCTTTATAATGTTAATGACTCAATTTATTCAAGGATTGAAGGCTAGAGCTCAAGAGGATAACATAGATTGGCATAGCTCAGAATCCATTATTGCCATTTTACCTTTTCTTATCAAGTAAAATGAATCATTGCAGTTGAGTTTTTCAATTTAAGTGTTAGGTTTGGGGGAGTAGGAGGCTATGCATAATGCTTACAATACATACTTCTATACGGTGGACGCAAATGGTTCAATGTTTTCATACCATGTTAAGTGATTCACTTCCCAAATGGTATAGTTCTCATACAGTTTCATCCTACATTAGTCATTAGGACATTTACTAATATATCTCTTCTACCAATGTAATTTAAGGGCCTCCAGCTGTTCAAGCAAGGTCAACATGCATGTTACAGCACACCACCCTTTTGCTTATGATCTTTTCCCAATGCCCGACGGATATAATCATTAACAGCTTGCTCAAGGTATGAAAGTGCACCTTATAGCTATGTTGCTCGAACTCTTCAAAAATGTCAGCCGGAGCATGTCAGTCCTCCAAAAGTAATGTACCTTTGGAAGATCCGACATGAGTAACATTTTTTGAGAGCCAAACAACACAGCCATAAATGCTAGACCTCTAGTCTCAAAGAGTGAAGCATCGCAAAAGTAGTTACTGAAAACCCAGAAAGTCCAACATGCCATATATAAAATTAGCAATTCAGAAAAAATTACACATTAGTCATTACCATAATCCTTTAAGGCCTCAATCTCTAGCTTGCTATGGAATTTTCCTTGGTTGATGTAACTAACATCTTCATCGTTCACAAACTAATGCATAAAGGTGCAGTTTATACAAGATTCTAAAGCTAAGGCAGCATTATAACTCCATAGGAAGCACTGCCCTTCATCCTAACCTCTGAACAACCTGACTTAAATAAGAATGGTTGCAACACGGACTATTGAAAACTCAAGTCTTGCTGCCATTAAGCATATCCATCTAAATTATACTTTTTGTTTCATACAATTGGAAAATGATTTTTATGACCGAGGAACTCATCGAGGACCAACCCTTGGAAACAACAGCAGACCTCGTGATTAGGAAACATTATAGGCACACGTCTCTATTTTTCTCCACTTAAATATCAAGCTTAATTCAGATAATGGGGCTCAAATCTGTGACCTAAATCACAAATACCTCAACCTTCCCCACTTGAACAAAGATCTTGGGCACAATTGGAAAATGTTCTATTGGATGAATGATCAACAAAATAAATCCTAGTGCTCATTAAAAAAGTGTTGCAACTCTGCTCTGACTCAAGATACTTGAAGAGAAGAGGGATAACCTTATGCTCTAGTTGTTTTCTTTGTGGGAAGGCATTAGAGAAAGTGAACCATATATTCCTACACTGCAAGTATACCCAACAACTATGGAGGATTTTTTTGAAGCTCAAAGGCATCTCCTGCACCATTCCCAGGAAGGTCTCAGAGGCTTCGAAGAGTTGGGAGGCAGCAGGGGGTGAATGCAAAGGATAGAGACAGATGGAGAATTATCCCTGCTAGTATATGGTGGACTATTTGGAAAGAAATGAGTTCTAGGTGTTTTGAGAGCATCGAAAAGGATGTCCATTAAGTCAAGTTAAACTACATTTTATTGTTATACTTTTGGTGTAATCAAGAATACTCCAATGACACTGTATCAGTAATTGATGTTTAGACTCAATATAGACTGAAACAGGTGGATAAGGAGACATCTGCATATAACAGTACAAACCCATGTACTGTTTTGTGACATATAAGCATGTGATCACATATACTCTATGTAAGGATATTAAATAAATGGCATTCAATTACTTAACCATGAATGCTCGCTAAAAAAAAAGGCTTACCAGGCACTCTAACAATGAGAAAATAGATGTTATTTACTAGTTCAAAGCAACAAAAGGAAGGAAAAAAGAGAGGAAGGAGGGGGGGAGTATGTAATCAAAAGGTGATATTTATAGTGATGCTACTGAATAATAGATAGTGAAGGACTGAAGGCAGAAAAATATTCAAACAAAATAGACTAGCAAGTATTGTTAAAAAGGTAGGAACTGCCATAAAAATAAGGTCCACTTCAACCGATGGAAGAGATCAAATGATGAAGCTGTTCGGCAAGCAAAGAAAAACAACGATGAAATATAATATAAGCAAACAAGCGAATACATCTTGGTCTGAGTGGTTTTGGTCCCTTCACCTGATAAGAACCTAACCAGGAAATTCTCAGCAATCAATAACAATAATGTCCTCATGCTAGGATATCAGCAGCATTAGTCATTAGAGCAGTTATTCAGTTTGTGTGCAAAGACAGAGGTAAACTCCTAAGAGAGAGATGTAATGAAGGCAAATGAGGAAGTAAAAGAGAATTTGAGTTCATGGAGAGTTAGAAAGTTCATAAAATAAAATAAAAATTGACAAATGGTGCCTACTTCTATTTTTTGATTTATCTGGAATGGAAGAATCAAAAATGTTCTGTGCGATCTCAACTCCAGTCATATCCTTAGAGCAAAATATTTGCTTAATCATTTTTGTTGGCTAGACCAGACCCCTGATAACTAATTGTGACTATTTTCTGGAATGTGTTAACTCCCTGGTGTTTAACAGGAGCTATCCCATTTTATCACTCTTTTATAACATTTGATGCATCTTCTAGATGCCTTTGATGAATTTACTTACTTCATTAAAAAAGAAAAGTAAAAGAGAAGAGTAGGAATAAATAAGAACGACTCTCAACTATTACATGTCACTGGTATGTCGTTGTTGTCTCAACTATTACATGGGTATCTGGAGCAGACATGATAGTGCCAGTAGACTAATTAGTATGAATGTCGCTCACATGAGTTTTATCGCCTATATTCAATCAATTTTCCAGACAACAATTGTTTTTTGTTAATATTATACCATCACTATTGCAATGGCCACAAAAAGCTCACATTACTAAGACAAGGCAGCATATCAATTGTGAATATCCCTCATCATTAAATGCACAAAGATGAACAGAGAATGGGTTTGCTATGCTAGTTAATCTCTTACTAAGAAAGAGAATACACCTGGCCTAGCCCAAGCCTACACTTTCAAAATTTTAAGTCCATAAACTTATGCATTAATTGAAGCCCTAGGTGAGTCTGTGAAGCACACAAATCATAGGCAGCCCTAGATGGAAAATACTTTTGATCTATTGAAACTGGAAAAACATTTTAGTTGTACACATTTATATAAGCTACTTATGTTTCTTTTTGATATTCTTAATTTACATCCAATATGTTGTCTATACATAGAGGGATCAATTCATGCTGATACTCGTAACTCCCATGGATCAATTTCAATTGAAATCAAAATGCCAAGCTCAAACTTAATTGTGCTCATAATGACTCACATTAATACACCTGGGCAAACATTAGAAGTCGTCAAAAGCTTTATCATCACATAAAAAGTTACTCGTCGCATGCATAATCACATATACATGTGAGGCTCAAATAAACACACCCTACTTAACAATCAGTTTCAGCACCATAACAAGCAAACAAAGGCAAACATGATATATTAGAATCATTAGATGATCCAATAGAAAAAAGTGTTACCTTTGCAACATGTTCCAAGGTAACAGCTTCAGGTATAATAGCTGTTCGAAGCCGAATCTGGACAAACCCGCTATCCCCTTTAAGGGCAAAACACTGACCAGGTTCTCCAAAGCTGGGAGTGAGTATCTTGTCAGCATTGTTACTAACAGCATTTCGGTTAGTTAACCAACTAAAAACATCACCACTACCAGACTTCGTAATAAATGGCTCTGAGTGCTTCACAACACGAGCCCCTCCAGAGGACAATGCATAATCCACCCTCCCTAATCCATCTGCAGCATGTTTCTCTATCTCTTTCTCCACCATCTGCCTTGCATATACTCGAAACTCATCCAAACTCTTATCATCAACTTCACTGCTACCTTTCATCTTCCTGTATTCCTCCAACATATTTTCTACCTCATCCCGGGACACCCAATTTTTCTCTCTAAATTCACCCATCAACTTCTCCAGATTTTCGCTTGTGCCACTCACTTCCTTCAACTTCAACTGCAATTCCTCCACTTTATCATCCATCTTCACACTCAATTCATCCCTCACATTCCTAATCCCCGTATCCAGTTTTTGATCAATCACATCAATTTGCACTTGCATCATTTTCGTAGTTTTCTTAACAAACGACTCCATTTCAGCGAATTTCCCATCGAAATCCCCAGAAATTACAGCGAGACCATCAGAGTCGCTCGTTTGATAGGAATTCCCCACAAGTCTACGAACCATCTGAACTAAACCAATTAACACAATCACCAACAATAAATTCTTAGTAACAACACTAACCACAGTCAACCACCTCGGCTTAGGCGTCTTGGTGTGCTTCTTCACTGCTGATGCCGAACCGCTAGGGCGACGTGTAGAGGATGTTGGAACATTGGTATGGGGCAATGTTTTCTTCACCACTTGAATCGCATCTCTGCTATCGCTTCTGTAGGAAACATTTGGGGTGGAGATTGGATCCGCTGCCGCTGCCGCTGCCGCTGCTGCTGCTGCGGTGGCGGTGGCTAAGTTGGAGTCGGCTAAATCTAAGGCGGTGGGTTGCTTCTTCTCTACGGCTCGGCGACGGGTTGAAGCCGTGGCTGGATTAGCCGAGATAGATACTGTAGACGCTGACATTTGTGGGGAAAATTGAGAATAAAACCCTAGAAATTGAGAGGGAATTTGGAGAAGAAAATGTGGAGGGACGTAAAAACTTGAAAGTGGAATTCGAATGAACCGATTCGATCTCTATTCCCTTTTGACTTTAAATCGTCGTTTTAAATTTGAATTTTCAAACCCTCAAAATTTGCAAACTACCTAAAGTACTTATTAAATATTGGATTACCATTTAGGATTTGTTGCCTAATTTGAATTGAGGTGATTTTTAGGGTAGTAATTATTATTCATCTAATAATAATATAATTTAAAAAATACAAAAAAAAATAAAAAGTAACTAAACTGATTTTACATGAGTAAACATCAGCAATTCACAATTTCTTTTGTAAACTTAATTAACTGAGTTAATACTCAAAAGGTACTCAATTTTGAAAATTTACTAGCAAAGTCATTGAACTTTATTTTGTATCAATAAAATCACTAAACTTAGATATTTCTATCAATAAAATCACTTAATCAAATTTATTATTAAAAATATATTAACATAGCAAAACAAACTACTCGAATATTTTCATATCATATAACCCAAATCCACAAATAAATAAAATTGAAGAAAACTCATTAAATCGGGACAAACTATACCAAAACATAACTTTTATGATATTGTTGAATAATTTACTTCTTTATTTGTTAAATAAATGAATATCTTTTTTTAGTGAAACATTTTTGTATCACTGTAATACTAATATCATAATAATTCCTCCTTAATAAAAAAAAATGAGTACCAGTACTATGGCAAAAAAAAAAAATTAAATCCAAAACATGAAGAAAAACAATAAATAAATGTCAAAAATAGAACAAGTATTTATTAATTATGTTTTTTAGTGCGCAAGATTTTCATATGTTTCTTGCTATAAATAATAGGTAAAAACCTTACTTTTCCTTCGTAATTTTCACTGTTTGTTAACGTTAGATTTGTTCAAACTTGAAAATAATATTTTTCCAATAAGTTTTTAAATTTGAATTTGTGTTTGCACACACATTTTAGTTGATTTTTAAAAAAAGAGTTTTGTGAGAGGAAGCGAAAGTTTTTAAAGAGATTTCTTTAATTTATTTATTTGTGAGATTTATATAAAAATAATAATTTATTTTGCTACCAATGCTTAGTTATGTCAAGTCATATTTCTAGTCAAATTTTGATAATAAATTATGCATATTTTAATTTTGAGACTTTTATTCGATGTAATAATTATATTAGTATGAAATAGTTTTTTAAATTTATATGAGTTAACATTTTAAACTCATACTATTCAATAAGAAGTTATAAATAAAATAATATAATTTTAAAATATCACAATACCATATTTGTCAACATTTATGGAATTTACATAAATTAATCCTTTTAAGTGTAGTGACTTGAAAATTAAATAATAAAGATTTTGCTAACCAATTCAAATAAAAAATATTTTGTTTGTTTGTGTAGCTTTTGCAATAAGCAATTATTTTTATCTACAGCATTTTATATTTATTTATTCTTTTTTTTACTAAAAAAAAAACATAAAAAGAAAATCAATTCTGGAGCCCTAATTTTCGACCCGCCACCATTTTTCCTCTTCTCCCAAAACTTCTTCTTCCGGCAAAAACCCTACTGGTAATTCTCCTCCCGATGAAGATTCGTTAACTTAATCTCCCAATTGACGGGCTGAAAGGATTAAAATATTCTTCTACTGTTGTTTCCGTTAACAATTACGATTCTTCATTGTTTTTGCAGAAGCGAGGAGTGTTTAGAATGGACGGCGGCAGCAGCAACGCACCAGTTCAGCAGCTGACGGCGGAGGCAGCTGCACAGCTACAGGAAGGTATCGGTTTGGTGTTAACTAGATGGACTGCTCTTCAGATGGCTATCGAGAACGAGTGGGGTGGCCGAGATACTCGTGAGAAATCCAATCAACTCAATGTTGACATTTTTTCCGCTTTTACACAATCCAAAGGTACTTTTAATTGATTAATACGCCGTCAGTTTATTCAACTTATTAGGCGCTGCGTTCATGAATAAAAAATATTTTTAAAAAAGCATTATTTTTGGAAGAAACTGAAAAGGGAAATTGAGAAGGAGAGAGTAGCATATTAAAGCTAATCACAGCTGCTAATATTTCTTTGTTTCCTTCCCTTGTGTTATTTGATTAAAGTATTTGTTTTTTTGTGGGTTCCTCCTTGTTTTGTTATGCAGAAAAAGTATACATGGATGATATAGAAGAAATTCTAGATGAGTTCATGATATCTCTAAATACTGAAGTCAATGATGGCAGCCTTGAGGAGGTACAGGAACCCCTTGTCGGTGTAATTTGCATTATCTTTGTTGTGCTTTTTGGCTGTTAGCCTAACTCAAAATATTGTTAGAAAATTAAATATACATTGATGAATATATATATTGTTGTTTTCATGAATGTTATGAGTTCCTGTGTTTGAACTTGGATATTTTATATTTTTGCTTAGTCTAATTATATAGTATTTGCAGTCGGAAGTTTGAATAGTAAAAGAGAAGGTATTTATGAAGTTCTGCCTGTCGTTGTGGAGTATTATAACTCTTTGAAGAAATATGTGCTCATCTAATGAGAAACCGGAGTTTTGCTTTGTAGGTTAGAAGATCGAGCTCTAATCTATCTCTCTCTGAAAAAAAATGAGTAGAAAGATTGGGCTTTAAAAATGTAGGCTCCTCTCTCTGCCATCAAGTGGCTTTCTATGTTTCAATACCTCATAAGGAGCAATCTGTAGATATTAAAATAACTGTTCAAGCAATCAAAGTTCTAGATGATGATAGTCGGGTTCTAAGGCCCATTTACAGATTTAAAAGTTTGTGGCTATCAGGGTTCTCTTGAGTCTTGCTGTCTTGACAAACAGATGATGTTAGAAGGGCCAAGACCTTTTTGTTCCCAAATTAATTAATAAATTAATTATTCTTCCATCTTGGACAAAATTGGGGTAAGTTATATGAATCATTTGTAACGCTCTGCTATATTCAGACCTAAATCATCAGATAATATCTTGTTTAGAGATTCTTTTTGTTTCAGTCTGATCGATCATGCATGTCTTTAAGGTTCTAGAGTCAATTCTGATGTATGCTTCCATAACAATTATTATTTTTTATCTCTATCAGGTAGCAGAAAAATTGATGTATATGCATGAAGAGTGTCTGGAAGGGGATTTCAATTCAATCAAAGTGCTAAGGGAAACAAATGTTGGGAGGAGACCTGCTACTTATGTCAGACAAGTAAGCATCCCTTGTTATAGGCATAAGGTTTGCTGTATCCTATCACCTGCATTACAAATAGTGATAAAGAATAACTAGTATATTGAGTGAGTTATTTCTGTAGAAGTGTTGAAGGCCTTAATTCATATTCTTTACAAATGAAGTCTGGGCATATCAGGTATTTGACAGAAGTAACTGTATGAGAATTGAGGTGAAGGTTTGTGGGTTATGCACTTGTGTTGCTCGTTCTTAGGAAATAGGAACTTCAGAAGAACTAAAAGAGTACCTTCAAGATATGCAACCACTTTGTAACATAAGGAGGACTGTGCTCATTCTCACATATAAAATGGTTGTTAGGATGTGCATGTTACCTAACATGGTAATATATTGATCAATCTTCTACTCTTTGACCCCTAATTAGTTAGGGTTCACCATATGAAAATTCTATCTGACAAGTTAACTGATCATTTTATTAATGTAAACCAACAGTAGAAAATGCTGAATATGTTCAGTGTGCAAGAGGCTAGAAATTCAATTCCATATCTAATTCCAGGAACTGAGAAACTCTAAACAGTGTGTCTACATCATGTACATCAGCCTTTTCCACCACAAATATATCAAAACCAGACATTTATATTTCACTTAAGGCAGTCTCCTTTTCCCTGTTGAAGTACTTTTGGTTTCTTTCACTACTCTCCAGACACTAAATACACAAAACAAGCTCTGTCACGATGTAGTTGTTCTTGGAATACACTTTTACCTAAAACAAATTCCAGATCAAGTCCCACTGCTGGTTGGTAATTTTGCAGTGAATGAGACCTCATTTGTATATGTTCATTGACGTTCGAATAAAAGTATCTGTGCAACTGTGCATACAAGTAACATCGTTAGTGTTACTTCTTAAGTTCCTCCTCCTGAAAGAGGAAATATAGGGGGATTTGTACTATATGTTGGAGTCCTAGTTACCTCCAAATCTTTAAATCTCCTCTGAATTTGATGTTCCACACCCATTGATTCTATGTCAGCCAGTCAGGAAGTGTTTTTTACTGCTATGGTAAATTAATCAGGGAATAAGTCCATCAAAGGGCCCACATATGGGATTACACTGGTTATGACGTTATGTTGTTGGTGTTGTTCAATTCTATCAAAGGGCCAGGACCAGCCCAATGATCCATCCAAAAAGCAATTATTCTGCTATTACAAACTTCAAAACCAATTTTAGCCTTATAACAAGGCCAAAGATATCTGACGGCCTTCCAAGCGCTGCATGGTGTTCTAGCATCACTGGAACACCTGTAGCCTTCAACACCATATTTGTTTTTAATGTCGCCTGATGTTAAACCTCTATAGCCACTTCGTTTAAAGCCTTAGTGGACATAGTTACTCGATAGCTGTGTTGGTGGGAGGTAGTAGGTACCTAAGTCTTATGAGAAATTGGTCTTTCTTTCAACCCTCTCATATACCATGCAAATTTGTTATAAATATCATAAGATTTGTTCCCCTGTTGCAAAGTAAAATTCCCTACCCGTAATTGTTGTATGTTGTTATTCTATTGAATTGTCACTTTCCTCTTCTGGGATGGGAACATTATTATAATACTTTCACTTGCTATTTATTATTCGAGAGTTCTTCCACAAGGACGGTGTTCCTGAATTTTCTCGTTAGCCCCAAAAGTTGTGCTTGAGGAGTACTATGAAATGTCGTGAACTTTCTCCAGCTGTCTCCTCTTAAATTATTTTAAGCAGCCACAAAATAAATTCCCATCTCAGTATGATTCCGGTCATATCTTGAGCAATATCATTCCCAAGTGGAAAGTGCCTTATGTTGAAACTATTGCTGTCTTGAATATTGCCCGTGTAATTCATCTTTCTTAGAAATCTCTATGAAGAAAGTAAATACTTTCGTAGATTTAA